TAAAAATTTTTTTTGTACATTAATATACAACTAAGATTTATGAATGTACTCTCTTAATTGGCTCCTTCCCAATGACATTTAAACAAATCTTTCATATCTTAAAAAAACATAAACAACAGAAAGAAAACGTCCCATGATCCGTATCTCCTCCTCTCCTTCGCACCACAACCGAACTCTGGAAGAGAGTTGTCTGAGATCACTATTTCCTTACCTCCCACTCATGCCTCAACCCACTCCAGTCTGGTTTCCACCATCACCATGCCATTAGACAGCTCAAGCTAAGCTCTCCAAAGAGACACATATCTCTAAATCCCATATATTTAACAGTTAAGTAGAAAATCTAAAGATTAATTTATCATTTATGTCAGGCGAGAGCCGTGTTGTATATAACTGTTTCCCCATCTGGCTGTGCAGATGTGGGCAAGTTGCTCTCTGGGCCTTGGTTTCCCTTTCCCTATTGGACCCAAGACGGACATCAATTACAGGCCACAACTCCAGAATTAATATGAGAGAGTTTACTGCTGATGAAGAGAGAGAGATGTCATAAATCAGAAGAACTTAATAACTCAAATGAAACTTATGGGAAGCCAGCTCTTTACCCTTATTTACCTCTTCCCATTAGTCCATAAATTAAAGTTAACCAAAGACCTATGCAGTAAAACCCTGCAGGAAAAATAGTTGTGATCTTTTTCAGTAGAAGCCTTTCAAATACATCCCAACTACAGAAAATATGGTCTCTTTACTTACTGAGTGGTTTACTTACAGTAACTTTATGAAAACTTCATTTGCATAGAAACATCACTGCAGTCTAATAACTGTTTAAAGACTTCATATATAAGAACTTTTGGTAGTAATAGTTCTTGGGCTCTGGAGCCAAACTGCCTGGTTCACACCCCAGCTCCACTGCTTACTGGCTGAATTATGCTGGCCAACTTCTCTGGGCCTCAATGAGGATAACAGTAAGAACTAAACTGCATGTAAAGCTCATGGCACCATGCCTGGAACATAAGAAATACTCAGTATATGGGAGATATCATAGTTACTACATAACATGTGATGTTAAAAAGTCACTCAACTGGGTAACTACATTAATGATAATTTAGGTTCATCAATTGAAATAAATGTACCACTCTGGTGAGAGATAGTGATAATGGGAAAGGCTATGCATGTGGGGCAGGGGCTATGTGAGAATTCTCTGTACCTTTAATACAATGTTGCTGTGATTCTAAAACTACTCTAAAAAATAAATTCAATTTTTAAAAGTCATTCAATTACATTTGAAAAACATATAGGTATGTTTGCTATTCGCTTCACATATTCTTGATAATGACTAAGAATAATGACAGCAATTATAGAACACTTAACCCTTACTTGGCCATTTGTGCATATTAAATTATTAAATAAGATACTGTATCTCATATATATGTAGAGTATTGCTAGAACAATTCAGTTGCTGTTTTTCAGATTTCCAGGCAAAATTTTCTATGCCCAATTTAAAAAGCACTCAATTATCTTGTCAAATCTACAAATTCCATATAGCTCAAGAACAGGTACCCTGACCAGGTGGCTCAGCTGCGTTAAGAGTGTCATCCAATATACTTAAAGCTTGTGGGTTTGATTCCAAGTCAGGGTATATACCTAGGCTGCAGTTCAATCTTGGTCAGGGCATGTAAAGAAGGTACCGAATGATATTTCTCTCAATCTCTCTCTAAAATCAATAAGCATATCCTAGGGTGAGGATTAAAAATAAAAAAGAGTAGAAATATAGTTAAGGAGAGATCATGGGGGGAAAATGGCTCTTAAGTAAGACATGAAAGGGAGGTTTAATGATATAATTATGTTACCCAACAGAGGCTGAAAGGTTCAAGATTACTTATATGACAAAAATTTGTTAACATGATAAAGAGCCACAATGTCCTTGTGGTGATGAATACTCTGATGGGCTCTTTTGATTTCTCCAGATAAAGGCTGTAAGGACACAAACCCCTACTTGGGAGTCTCTATCTATGCATTTGGCATTTAGTGGAGATGAATCAGTGAGATTACTCCAAACTTTTTCCATCTTGATCATCATTGTTTTTACAAGAGACAACCACCCCATCTTCACTGGATTTATTTAGCAATAAATACAATCTTTTTGTCATGTAATTAAATTCTTATTGCATCTACAAACCAAATAAAGCAAAAAGCCATTGCTGAACGAGGAACCAATGTAGGTTAATACACATTAAGCCAGAGCACTTATAGTTTCTGTGGTTTGTAGCTTAAAATAATAAATATAAGTAATAGCAGCAAGCCTTTACAGAGCACCTACTGCATGCCAAGTTCTTTGCACATGTCAACTAACTTTATAATAACCCTACAAGGAAGGTAGAACTCTCCAAGATCACAAAGATAACAAGTGGAAGGCATGGGAAACCAGTCTAGAGCACACACCCCTAATCCCTATCCAGCAGCCCTCTCCCCTCCCCTGACAAGCTACAGTTGGACTCATATCACAGAAGCTGTTTTCTGTTAAGTGCTCTTCTCATTCAAGCATTTAGACTTTGAGTAGTCATTTAACATTCCTCTTATAAAAAATTAATAATAATCCATATATGGTAACCTCTAAAATACTAGCTATGTTGCAACCCTTCTTCTACACAGGCTCATTTTGGCTCCTTTTACTGGGAAGAGGACTGTGTCTTGAGAGGCAGAGTGAAATCTCACCAGGTACTTGCTATATGATTTCTACTGTTTATAAGTAAAACGGTCATTTTTATTTAACAGCAATAACACACAATTGTTCTCTTAAACAAGATGGCTGGTTCAACTCAACACTAAGCGTAGGTCTCATTATAGCTCCTATTACTCAATTTTATGACGATGAGCCACTCTGTCAATTTGCTATTCACTTAACCTATGGTCGAATTACTTCCTTTACAGGCTTCTTTTACATTCACTACTAACACACTGAACGTGCATTTCACAATTTGGGCTGGAAAAATATGAATTTCTGAAGAAAGACATGAACCAAAAATGTCTAATAAGCTCTCAATGTTATGGCCCTTTAGGATCCATTTTATAAGTAGATTCCAAGAATGAGATATACAGTTTGGTGAAAATTATATATTGTTTTCTGAGGAAGGAATGGAGACTTTTCTACCAAATAACTATTTAAAAAAATATTTATTGATTTTAGAGAGGAAGGGAGAGGGAGAGATAGAAACATCAATGATGAGAGAGAATCATTGATCAGCTGCCTCTTGCACACCCCCCCCCCCCCCCACTGGGGATGGAGCCTGCAACCCAGGCATGTGCCCTTGGCCAGAATTGAACCTGGGACCCTCCAGTCTGCAGTCCAACGCTCTATCCATTGAGCCAAACCAGCTAGGGGCCAAATAACTATTTTGAATCGTGTAAATGACAATACACTTAAAAGTAATAGTGACAGGATAGAATCCAGGCAGATTTCCAAGTAGAGTTATAAGTACCAGGCTTTTGGCCTAACAAGCTGCTTTGTAGTGCTTACTGAGCATTCCTGATAAAACGATATCCGACCCTTAGCTTTGGTTTTCTGAACAGAAAAGCTTTACAAGTCTAAATCTCAGTAAATTCCTCCACAATTATCTAAGCAACAACAACCTCTATATCAATCGTTCTAGACCCCTTAGGGAGTCTGACCCTTATGGGAATCTGATAAAAGCCATGGACCTTCTTCGCAGAGGAGTGGAAAGTTCACAAGCCCAGTCCCAGACCCCAAGAGAAGAATCTCAGCACTGTACCTTGAACCAGATAAAGAGAGAAAGGTGATGGCAATCTCAAACTCTGCAGAAAAGAAAACTTTCCATTTACTCAGTTTGTTAGGAAAAACAGGTCTTTTTACATATTCCAAACCAAAGGCATAGGGGCAGCGAAGCCAGATGTAGTCAACTGTATTGATCCTCACTGCCCAGAACTCTCTTCGCCCAAACTCTACATGGATGCCTCTTGCCTTTCAGCATTCAGTTCAACTGTTACCTCCTCAGGAAGGATTACTTTCTTGACACCTTATCCTGTATCCTTTATTATCACATCTTGCTCTTTTATTTTTACAAAAGTACTTATCAGTATTCAAGGATGTCTCATTAACTTTCTTATTTACTTATTTTCTCTCTCCTATTAAGAGTATACGCTCTTTAAAGGGCAACTATCTTGTCTGACTTGTTCCCACGATATATCCTCAGTGCCCATCACAGTGCTTGGTACACAGTGGGCATCTGACGAGTATTTGTTGACTTAAAACTGAAAAGTAGGATGCTGATGTTGGCATGAACTATGAAGGTTTTAACTAGTTGTGAGTCAGCGTCCTCTCCCTCTTTCCATAACGAGGGGTCTATTCAACCGGCATCTACCATGTGCCAGGCACCGTAGCAGGTGCAGGGGACCCAGAAGTGAACAAACCAGACGAGTGTCTTTGGTCTTCACCGACCCCCTAACTGGAGTGGAGCGCCCAGACAAGTCTCTCCCACACGGTACGTGGGAGACGCAGGAGAACCCTCTCCATTCCTTCCTTGAAGGGAGTTACGGGAGATTCCCCCAATGAACACGTCCTCCAATCCGGCACTTCCAAAGCCAGCCTCGGCGTTTTCCCTATACACCGGCCCTCCCCACCGGCTCCGCTCACACAGAACCCCCAACCGGGTGAAGAACAAACTTAAAGCCAGGACTCCATGTGAGTTCCTGAGGGAGGGGGGAGGGGAGGAACCAGGAGACGGGGCGCCGAGGAGTGGGGGCCAGTGCCCTCAGCCTGGAGGCTGGAGAGCCTGCCGTGGCGGCCACCACAACGTGCCGGGTGACCTTGGGCCAGTCCCGAGGTGCCGGAGCATCAGCCTCCCCCGAGGTGGAGAAGCAGGGCGGCGGGGTGGGACTCGGGGGGCCGGGGGGAGGTGGAGCCCAGGAGGCCGGGCTGAGGGCGAGTGGGGTAACGGCCGACGTGGGGAGGCCGGCGCGGGGCCGGGTCGGAGGAGCGGCTCACCCACCGAGCGCCACCTGGCAGGCCCTGCGCAGCTGGGAGTGCTGGGGCCGCTTCACCTCCTTGTCGGCGAGGATCTTCTCCAGGGCCCGGGACACGAACATGCTCTTGGTCTGGCTCTCCTGCATGGCACCAGCCCGGCGGGGGCTGGGAGCCCCGCGGGCCGGCGGCACGAGCGAGGGGGTGAACGAGGCCGCGGGCCCGGCGTCCCGGCCGGCACCCGCTGCGTCCGTCCGTGCCGCCCCGTCAGGAAGCGACATCGCGGCCCCACAGCGCCGCCATGTTGGATCGCGTCACGTGACCACGTGACTGGCGGGGCGCTGCGGCCGCCGCGCGTCCGTCGACCCCGTGACCCCGGTAGGGCGGGGCCTAAGGCTGGGGGCGGGGCCTGGCGGAGGGGGGAGGGGCGGGGCAAAGGTGGGGGAAGGAAGGAAAGACGAAGGTGGGGAGATGAGGGCCAGTGGGCGAAGGCCCACAGGGACCTGAAGGGTGGAAGGAAGGACATGATGTGGGTGATGGAAAGGAAGCGCTGTATAAGTTTTAGTTTTTAATTATACATTTGTCAATCTTTTTATTTGGTGTTTTATCTGTAGGAGTGAAGATGTGCACTTATTCATGTTTAGTGGGTGTCTGAAATTAAAAAAACCAGGCAGATACTCAAACCTGAACTACGGCCCTAAAGTAAATTGTTTGAGGAAATTAGCACCCAACAATTATAGGTGCAGAGTTTTTGAAGCATGTCCATATTCAAGTATAGATCAAATTAGCTCAACTAAAACGATTGTGGACTGATTGAAATGACATCAGGATTGAGCAAAAAAGGGAGTAAGATGATTAATACTCGAACTCAAGAGGAACTAAGGCAGTGGAAGAACTCAGAACATGTGAAATTCCTTAAATAAATAAAAGTTTATTAACTTAAAAAGAAGAAGAAGGAAGGTTAGGAGACCGAGAGGCATGAGGGTCGTGTGAGTGGAGTTAGGGGTGAGGGAGAGGTGAGGAAGGAGAGGAAAGGAGAGGAGATAGGAGGAGAGGAAGGAAGGGGAAAAAGTTTGGAAAAGAAGAGGATTGGTTAGAGTAGGGGTGTCGAACTCAATCAGAGAAGGGGCCAAAATCTAAAATCCAGTCTAAATCGCGGGCCGAATGGTTTACTGAACAGTCATAAACTGTCATTGTGATGGAAACGCAGCGGAGTGCAGTGATGACAGCGCGGTGCGGGCCACATTGCAAGGCCTGGTGGGACGGATTTGGCCCGAGGGCCTTGTGTTTGACACATGTGGGTTAGAGAGTGAGGGAGGTGATAAAGGGGCAAGAGGAGGAGGAGAGAGGGGAAGCCGGGGGAGTAGGAGAGGAGGGGAGATGGTTAGAGAGGAGGGGAGGGGAAGCATGGAGGTAAGAGAAGCAGGGGGAGAGGTGGGGATGGGGGAGAGGCAGGTGAAGGCAGGGAGGAGGTAGGAAGAGGAGAGTTTAGGAGGAGAGCAGAGAAAGAAGAAAAGAGGAGATGAGAGGGATAAAGGGAAGAGGGGGAAGTTGGGACAAGGGAAGAGGAATGAAAGGGAAAAAATATGTGGTGTGGGAGGAGGTGAGAAAGGATGAAAAGAAAGCATGGTGGAACATTACAAACTGTTGAACAAAAATAGACAGAGGCAAAGAAGCATTGAACAGACTGTCAAACTACAGTGGGAAGGTAGGGAAGGGTTTGGGGGGAGGGTAAGAGATCAACTGAAGGACTTGTATGCATGCATATAAACACAACCAACAAACTCAAGACACTGGGGGCAAGGGGACGAAGACAAATGCCAAGGGGGTAGGGGAGGCCAGGGGGAGGTGGTGGTGGTGGTGGGGAGACATATGTACTACTATTTGTAATACCTTAAACCAGTGGTCGGCAAACTCGGTCAACAGAGTCAAATATCAACAGTGTAATGATTGAAATTTCTTTTGAGAGCCAACTTTTTTAAACTTAAACTTCTTCTAACGCCACTTCTTCAAAATAGACTTGCCCAAGCCATGGTATTTTGTGAAAGAGCCACACTCAAGGGGCCAAAGAGCCGTGGTTTGCCGACCACTGTCTTAAACAAATTTAAAAAAAATAAAAAGAAAGCATGGTGGGCCATGGAGAGAGAAAAGGAAATGAAGGGGTTGATGAGTGGATGGGAAGGAGAAGTGAAGGGAAGGTAGAGAGAGAAAGAGAGACAGGTATTCATGTACACTCTCCAAAACAGGGTTTCTCCATGCTCTTGGCAAGACACACACCTTCCCCACAACCCTCCTGTCTGCGCAGAAGAGCTGACTCCTGGCATTTAGGATGGAGAACTTCTGTGTAGCTAGTACCACACCTGTGCACACTGCAGCCAGTCAGAGCCACCCTGAGTGCCTAGCCCTCTGGTGTGTGTCCGTTTATTCTCATAAACGTGTGGTGTGCAGTACACCGGGTGATGTCTGACCGAGGCCATCAGTGTTATACAGCTGCAAATGAGTATAAGAAGACAGGCCCTCTGGCCCTAGGCATCTTCCCCTCCATCCCACTGCAGTGATGTCACAGCCCCGCAGGCGATGTTCCTAGGAGCCCTTTCTGTGTCACTGCCATCCTCTCCCAGGCGGGGCCGCCGTGCTTTGGGCTCACGCAAGAACTTGTCTTTCTTGGAAACCTCAGAAACTTCCCATGCAGGCATGTTCTGATGCTCAGGTCTCAGTTCAAACACCCCAGGGAGGCCCTTCCTGTGTAAATAGCCACCTCTCCCCCTGGCCCATGTGGCTCAGTTGTTTAAGCTTCCTCCCATGCATGGCGAGGTCACAGGTTCAATTCCCTGTCAGGGACAGGCTCAGGTTACAGACTCGATCCCCAGTAGGGGGCATGCTCAGGTTACAGACCCAATCCCCAGTGGGGGGCATGCAGGAGGCAGTTGAATGATGATGTTTCTCTCTTTCCCTCTCCCTTCCTTTCTCTCTCTCTCTCTCTCTCTAAAAATAAATAAATAAATAAATAAATAAAATAATAATAAAATAAATTAAAGCATATATTTTTCAAAAAAGTGCAAAGCCACATTAAATTTTTTTTAAAAAAATGAACTTAAAAAATAAAAAAATAAAGCAAATTAAAAAATAAAGCCGCCCCTCTTCTTTACTTGACGTTTCACTGCATTTTCTGACCTTTTTGACTTGTTGACTTGATTGTGGTCTGTCAGGTATTGGCCACAGAAGGGCAGACTGTATCCCCAGGGCCTGGTCCAGAGCCAGGTGGAATGTTTCATGGGCATGAATTCCATTGCTGTAAATGTGGCTTTATAGCTCTCCCTGTTAAAAAGCGGAGTCTGTTTCTTTACCCTGTTGGGGTGGCCTTGTGACTTGCCTTGGCCAATAGAATGTGATAGAAGTGAGGCTGTGTGTGTGGTCCAGAGCCTAGGCATCAAGAAGTCTTGGATGCTCAGGAAGCATCTGGAAGAACTAGCACACGAAGAGAGAGGCCCAGCCATTCCCACTGACCCACCCGCTGAATAAAGCAGCGTCAGTAACCCCGGTGAAACCAGCAGAACTGCCCAGCCAGCCCACAGAGTAGCAGGAAACAACAAATGATTGTTCTTTTAAGCCATTACATTTTGGAGTAGCTTGTTACACAGCATGAGACACCCCTTAAACCTTATGTGTCGAATGAATGAGTGCTTGAACGTGTGAAACTCTCAAGAGAAGTGCAGTGCAATCCCCGGAGTAACAGGTTCTGAGCCACCTCCCACAGCAAGGTCAGGCTGAAAACCCTGACGACTCCCCAGTGCCCTTGGAATGGAAACTGAGGGAAAGTTTCTCCTGCTAGCTGGAAGTAGAACGTTCCTATGAAACCTCCTGTAAACTGAAATGGCATAAGGCAAAGAAGCAATTACCACTCATTTATATGGAAATTTTTTGAGTGTTCCCAGATAACTTAGTAGGACACCACATGTTGTGTGCATCCGTTAATCCGCTCGAGCTATATACACTTGCCATTTTATCTATTACTGGATGCTGGCTAATGGCAACCACCTTGCTATTATTAGCAGAACCAGTAGTAACTTCGGCAGCCTTCAAGACTCTCTCTGTGTGTAAGTGGTATGAATGGTGAACACAGGCAAGTTCAATGCCTTTATTTCATTCACCACCATCAAAATACTTAATTATGTCCAGTTTTACGCTAAGCAGAACAGCCTTAGAGGTCTCTCAGGCTTTTCTGATGCCTTAGGCTACGTCTTGATGATGGATGCACAGAATAAATGGAGGTGAAGCACAGATGCTCACAGACACAGTTCAAAGCCCTGGGGCTTGATGCTGAGCTGCTTGCTGCCTGTGGTTGCTGGGAGAGGAGCTTGGTGGTGTCACTTTCACCGCTCAGCGTGTGCATGCCTCTCTACTGGTTCTCATTTTGCTTTTCAGGTTTCTTTTGGTTAAGGAAAACAGGGCCCAGTGTAGGTCTTTTGAAAAAGCCAGGCCGAGGAGAGTGAACTTTGGAAAAGCAGGGATACCTGTATCTCACTTTGGCTGAATTCTCTGCCTGAACCTCTTTCTCTCCCCTTTTCTTCTCTTCCTCCTCAGGACTCTCCAGCCACACTGGATTCCCCTTTTGTTTCCATCAAGGCTTGGCTGAAGCATCTCTGTTCCTCTCAGTCAATGCATCTCAGTGAGGGCAGTGCCATGCCCCGGGGCATGTTGAAATGTTGCGGCGGGGGGAGGGGGGGGAGTAATTTTATTGTTATGATGGGAGGAGGGGGAGCAGAAATGCTTGACAACATCCTGTAGGGAGCGGGACAATTCCAAATAGCAAAGATTTACACGTGTCTCACGTGGCTGGATTAGACATCCCTGTAGGGGAGAGACCTATTAAGAATGATCTAAACCTAGAGCCTACATTTGCTTTGCATATAAGCACAAAGCACTTCCCATCCTGTTTTAATATATACGAATTTTCCAGGCATGCAACTATTAGTGTAATTCAAGGGGAAACTGTTTTGTCTGGAACTGTTGTTCACTATTTCAAAACCACACCACTGCCATTTATTCCAGCCATGGTATTGGAGTTGCCACCACAGCACCCTTTAAGTCTGCTTTGCAGCTGTCACCATTCAAGGGATTCTCCTTTTAGGTTCCTGCATCCGGCTGCTTTACTGTATCCCTTAGAGCAGTGGTTGGGCAAACTCAGTCGTCAACAGAGCCAAATATCAGCAGTACAACGACTGAAATTTCTTTTGAGAGCCAAATCTTTTAAACTTAAACTTCTTCTACCGCCACTTATTCAATACAGACTCGCCCAGGCCGTGGTATTTTGTGGAAATAGCCACACGCAAG